TTCTTCTTACAATACCACTCTTCGTATGAAGATTTTGTTCAAACGCAGTCTACTAACTCTCGAAACAACCTGATACACATTTAAAATATTGTACTCAGTTGTGACTTTTATGCGAACGTTAGAGGCCAACTCGATCTATACACGCCACGAATTTGACTCTTCCGATGCGGAGAACCACGCATTATCTGACTGCTATAATTTTAGACACCATTATCTTTCACGCAACAACTGCAACAATGCACGAGGGGAGCGAAGAGTCGACCACTCAGCAAACTTTTGTCGCCTCTGAAAAGCGAACCGCAGAGTCCTATCTATGCTTCGCCGCCTCACTCGCCGTTAAGCGACAGCCTGATACCTTATTCACCGACGAATACGAGCCCACCCAGTGCCCAGACTGCGGCGAACGTGATACAAAGTCAGCTCGGGGTGTCGTTGTTGGCCGGCAACCAGAATATATCGTACAAAACGCAAATCGGTGAATACAATCACACCTCGGCCATTTACGAGCCGATCAACATAAAGACCGAGATCATCGACAAAAATGACATTGGCAAACCATTTGAATTGACTAACGAGATGTTAGGTTTAAGCGTGACGAAGGACAAGAAAAATGGAGTTGACGAGAAAAGGAACTCGGCCGATACTCATTTCACTAGGGACACACATATGAGGATAATACTGGGGAACAGTGGTGCTGGTGTTGGTAGAAGCGTAAAACATACCTCTGACCACACACCTGCCAGGTGAGATATTTTAATAATAAAATTAAAAAAGTTTAAAGAAAACTCTCCCTCCATTGCACTCGTTTAGATGTGAATCATTGACAGTCTGACTGTAAATTTAGTTTTATGAATATACTTTTTTAGGAGAGACTTTTCTAATAGATCATACAAGAGATTAAGCGACAGTGACACGTTTTTGAAAGGAATAACTTTTTAATTACAGTGCAAGCAATGCAAAACCAAAGCGCAATGGCTTGGTCTCCAACCCGGCCATGAGATTAGTAGCAGGTGTTAGGAATGGAATTGAAAATGCAACTAATAGAAATAAGCCTATCACAACGCGAGTTAATGGATTTCAGTGGAAGGCCGAGACACGAAAGGAAACACCTTTGTAGGGACAGGTATTAACACAGTTTCACTTTTAAGGGTCTACACACTATAAATGTCTACGATATAAATGACTGTAAAGAAACAATGAATCGCCAAGTATTTAATGAAGCATTTGATTCTTATGGAATTGTACAAATATTTACTGCAATGTACTCAATTGTATTTTTCTTTACAATGCACTGCATAATTCCATTATGCTTTATAAACAAAATATACATAATTACAATTTCCATTCAATCGTACACTTTAGTATTAGAATTTAAATATTTCCATCCCTTGAAGTTTTTCATTTTGATTCAATTTTAATTTGAAGATTATTGAATGATAAATCTTTCAATTTCTTCCTTCTTTTTCTTCTTTTTCTTTTGAACATTACAGTACTCAAATGATATATAAGTACATACATATATATTTGATTTATAAGAAAATAGAAGTAGCTGATCCTTATGCACTGTAATTACAGTGTTCAGTTTTGGAAGTGGTATCAGTAGATTTTTGTATTCCTCTTCTACTAAATCGCAACTTATAAATATTTTGCATGATCAAAAATAACTATACACATATAACATTAGATTTTACAATAAAATTAGAAATTTAGCGAAACGTGACTTTTAAGAGTAATGATGTTTTAATCTTTTCAGAATAACCATCTTACTAATCTACGTTTAAGTGTGTTGTGTCAAATTTATTATTTATATGATAAAGCAATGGAAAGCAAAAGTAAACTAATCAAAATCTTCATTTTTTGTCACGTAGGTTGTCTTGTCAGAAACACCTCAGCAGGACACCGGAATCCGTTATTGCGGCTGGCGAATCGTAATCACCAAAAAGCGGAAGTCAATAAACAAATTCTTCTCTTTTTATTTGAGCAAAATCAAATTACCTCACATGAAAAAATAAGCGAAGAAAAATACGATTTATAAGGATCGCAGTTGAATAAAAAAGAAGATGAAAATTGCGTAACATACAAAAAAAAAACCAAATATTAAACAGTATAGAGAAATATGTAGATCTAGATATGTAAACTTTACGAAACATGACTTTGTATAAATGTAACGTTAATAAAATTCTTTACTGATCTCACTAATACTTCATATAAAGAAAAAAAAAAAAAATAAACTAATTATCGAAATCTTTAAAGATTAATAATCATGATTTTGATGGACACAAATGATGTATTATGAGAGTTTTTTTTTTCTTCAGAAGACTGGAAGACTTATGCAAATGAAATGCATAATGTGATGTGAATTATGCAGAACTGTAAAGATATGTATAAATTATATTGACCGATTTAAGAAAAAATATAGCATTATAATGCGAACTCAGTTACAGATACGTAAAATTATGGCCTGAAAATTAATAAAAACGTGTGTAAATACACATCCTTCATGTATTGTGCACGATCATATTTATTATATTGTAATAGATGCAAAATAAATAAAAAATAAAATATCAATATTAGTCATTTATTTATTTATATAATAACGATATCTTTTCAACAAACTAATTTGAAATTAAATTAAAATCAATGAATCAGTTTTATTTAAAAAGAGAATAGTTGTAAGATAAAGATACAACTCTCTTTGATAGTATGATTGTAAAAGAATCATAAATATATTCACTGTCATAAGATATCTTTCTCAAGGTAATGTCACCTATCTTATGTAATATTCCAGTCATATTCCCAACACTTTAGGTAAAATAGTAGATTTTATAATCATTTCTTTCTGAAAATTCTATAATAAAAAAAAATTTTCTTTTATCACAAAAGATAAGAATTCTTATCTTTTATTTACACAAAGAAATGAAAGTCTTATGAAATAGGAATCATGTGAAATATTCTATTATTAATATTCATGTACAAGAAAGAATTTAATAATTTTTAATACAAATAATAGTAATCAACTTAATGACAAATACTACTAAATTACAGAATGAATATATTAAAAAGAACATTAAAACAAAAATTAATATTAAGTACAATTATTGGTGTATGCATTGGAATTTTATTAGGACTTATTCTTAAAACTGTTACTCTTCAACCATGGACCAAACGAAATATAATGTATTTAAGATTTCCTGGAGAACTATTCATGAGGATGGTAAATTGTTTAATATTACCTCTTATAACATCTACTATAATAAGTGCTACTTGCGACTTGAAAAAATCTGGTACGTACAAACTGACTTCAAATTTTAAACTTACAAAATTTTTTTCTAATATAGCGTAAAATTCTCTAATACACAGGTCAGATTGGAAAAATGGCATTATATTATTATATGACAACAACATTACTTGGGATAGTATTAAGTGTTACACTAGTTCAAACAATAAGACCTGGTGATTTACTTAAAAATAAAAATATTTTGACACAAAATGCAACCAGATATTCAATGACAATGGATACAATTTTAGATTTATTTCGGTATTTTACTTATGATGTTAATCAATTTCTTGTTTTTTATTTATTCAATCTATTTAATTTCTTCTTTTTGTTTATATTATAGAAATCTTATGCCAGATAACATAGTGAGTGCAACCTTATTTCAGGTAACAAAATTTTATAAATTTCTATGTTTCATCTTTAGCTGCTATTACAATCAACTCAATTTAAACAACAGACATAAATAAAATATTGTTTCAGTATCAAACTGTGTTAGAAAAACCAAACAATGAATCAGGTATATCGTATGGAATATACATCATAAATGGAGAAGGAATAAATTAAAAGTTAAATTAAAATTTAATTTTTTATCTTTTAGTACCAATTGATGAATGGAAAATAAGCCACACAAATACTGCAGGAACAAATGTACTAGGATTAGTATTCTTCAGTTTAATTATAGGATTAGCAATTGAAAATATAGGTGCAAAAGGAGAATCTTTAATAAATTTTTTTAGATCTTTATCAGATGCAATGATGAAAATCATGAGTTGGACAATAATGTAAGATTACTAAATGTGAAGTATGACAAAGAAAATGATCATTCAACTTTCATTATATACAAATACAACCATTTTACACAGGTTGGTACCAATAAGTGCATTATTTCTTATTTGTGCAAAAATTCTTGAAGTGGAAGACTTTGACAGCGTAATAAAAAGACTTGGGATTTATATCTTAACTGTATTCAGTGGTTTACTTATACAAGGTTTCGTATTACTTCCTCTAATATATTTCATATGCACTCGTCAATCTCCATATAGTATTATAGCTAAACTTGGACCAGCTTTTGTTACAGCATTTGGTACATCATCAAGGTAATTAATTAAGATAAATGTATCATCAAATATCATTAAAATTAAAAATATTTGACATTCAGTACAGCTACAGTTCCAGTAACAATATCATGCTTGGAAAGTATTGGAATACCTTTTAAAATATCTAGGTTTATTGTACCAATTGGTGCTACCATAAATATGGATGGTATAGCTTTGTACGAAAGTATCGGTGCAATCTTTATAATTCAATTACATGGGTTACAATTTTCACTGTTCAAAATCATAATAATCTGGTATGTATAAAGATAACCTTTTCAGTCTTACCTTCATAGAGATGACACAAAATCATAATGAAATAAAATTTACAGTATAACCTGTACCGTATCATGTATTGGTGCTGCCAGCTTACCCAGCGGTGGTTATGTAATGTTAATAATGGTATTAAATTCCGTGGGAGTTCCAATAGAAGATGTTTCATTGATTATTGCTATCGATTGGTTTGTGTAAGCACCAATAATGTATTTACACAATTTTAAATATTCATTGAAAATATTGATAATTATAACTTGATTTTTAGAGATCGATTTAGAACCACCTTAAACATCATAGCAGATGCATTAGGAGCTGGTATAATAAGTCATTATTATAAAAAAGATAAACAAACTTCTGTGCCAGAGGAAATGGAATTATACACTTCCGCATAATAAATTGAAATTATAATTTAATTTTTAGTAAATCAAAAATTGGCACATTTGGAACGTAAAAAATAACGTTAAATTTTGTTGAGAAAATACACTCGTTTATAAATAAAATAATGTTTGTTGCACTTTATATTTTGTAAATTTTGAATTTACAATCAAAGTGGAATAAACATTATTTTATAAACGAGTGTATTAACGATATTTTAAATCACAGTTCAAATCACTTTAAATTTTAACGTATTTAACATATTAAATAGTGTCGAAAGAAATTCAAATTCTATAAACAGTAATGTAACTTTTTAAAAATTACACTATTTTAGTAACATTGACAATAATAGATTATAACGGACTACACGATCTTGTAATGTAAATATTTTATTACTATCTCATTTCCTTTTTTTAATATTTAATTTAATTTTAAGAACTTTAATCTAATATTTAATTTAATCTTAATTTTAAGAATCGTTTTGTTCAAAAATTACATATTGAATTCAATTGTATTTTATTGTACCTAACGACCCAAGAGAGTAAATAAAATCACGTGATCAAAATCTAGGGAAGAAATTTAAATATAATATGAGAAACTACTTTTCGAACGTGATCATTAATCTCAAATTGAACAAATATATCTGTTCACTAAATGAATTACGTGTCGGGTTTAATAGTTCAGTTTAAACATTTTCCACAACAACCATTTTTTACAAAGCCACCGTTTGAAAATTATAATTCACTAGCGACCGTAAACTTGTAATTTAAGACCAGTGTTTACCCTTACTAACTCAACTCAACATTAAACAAAGTACACAAAATTTGAAACGAAGATGTTTCAAGATGTATCTTACATTGTAATGCAAATACATATAACTATACATAATATACTTTATGTTCATAAACTAACGAGCAAACCTAACCTATTTGACATGCTGCTGCAGCGACTCGCGTGATATTTTCTAGAAACGAAAAGTCTATCTATGTGAACACTGCGTGCATAGGAGAAAGATTTCAGAATGGCGACTGTCTTTACTTAGGAGAGTACTTATTCCCGCCCAGAAATTGTATAATTAACGTGTGTCTTTGGAAAGTTCCATGTGTTTTTCGTCGCATATTCACTGAAAATGATAATAGAGAATCCGGATCAATTCAAGGCGTGGCTCACTGCCGTCTTGGAGCCACTGTAAGTAGGCCAGCTTGTCCGAGAACAGTTTTAGGTGTATGTGTATATGCATTTAATGTTGTAAATGGCCGTACATGTGCTATGCTTTACACCCTATTCAGAATTATATTTACATATACATTATCCTGCTTGCTTTTGAATGTGCGTCGATAGATCATTCCGATCAACATTCACCCACTGAATTATCATGGTTTTAATAATGATCGAACGATGATATGTCCAATTTCCAGACTGTTTCTCATCCGTATTTTACAGCGAACGCATTTCAAATAATTGAACGTAGGATATTCAACCCGGTTGTATTTTAGCCCGCAATATGAATTTCATGTGTATTTTATTCAAATATTGCGATAAGAATACACTTTTAATGTGTTAATTTTCCTATATAAACAACTTAAGCAACGAGTCGTTCCCTAAGAATTTGTTGACAGTAATGCTTATTTAAAATGTCGTTTATCGTTTGGAAAGGGATTTGACATTGTCCGAAATAGCTTCCCCTATGTAATTTTTGTTAGAAATATTTTAGTAATTGTTAATATACTTGTGATAAAAAATGCTTCAGTTAGGGAGAGATGTATTTATAAATACATTAAAATTTAAATATGTACAGTTGTACATTATTTAAATATTTACTTATATTTATTATATTATAGAAAATAATTTGTTACTAACTTATAGTTAATTAAATAGAAATATGTAATTAATTTCATTTATTCATTTGTGGTTTATTGCTCTAATAAAATTTAATCTTATTCTGTATTTTATAACCTATAAACATGATTTATTTGCGTATTATAAATAACAAAGTAAAATTCTTTGCTCTCTTATTCATTATATATACAGAATTTTCAATGTAAACTTATTATGTATAATTGTTATGTGATTTTCATATAATTATATATATATCACACACACATTAATTCATATTTTATATATTTATCATCTAAATATTACATAATTATTTTACAATTATTGTTTCAAAACAATATCAATATGATTTTACAGTTGTGATGCAGATCCTGCCGCATTAGCAAAATATGTATATGCTCTTGTTAAAAAGGATAAAACACTAGAAGAGTTGCGAGGTGGAATGGTTGAACAGCTTGATGTATTTTTACAGCAAGGTACATTTTTTTTTTAAGTATGATATTAAGAAATTGACTGTGCTTCATAATATTTTTTTTATAGAAACAAAAAATTTTGTGGAATTATTATTTAAAACATTAGAAACTCAAGAATATGTACTTCCACCTCCGAAAAGTGATCCAGATGGTGGTGGAACACCACCGGGTGTAAATCCACCACCACCAACATTAGCTGCAGAAAAAGTAACTGAAAGTACAATTGCAATTACTTCTATGAATACAAATCCTCCTGCTCCACTTCAAATGAATGGATCTGCACCTATGGCAATTGGTAAACGTGAAACTAGAAAATCAGATTCTGAAAAAATTGACAAAGAAAAGGAGAAACGGTCTAGGAGTCGGTGAGTCGAATTTTTCGTGATTTATTAAAAAATTTTTTATATAAAAATTTTTAATACAATTTTTGGAGGATAATTATACATATTTCAGAAGCGGTCGAATGAGGTCTCGAACGAGATCACGTTCACGCTCGTGGGAGAGAGATAGACGTAGATCAAGGAGCAGAGAACATATTCGTCGCGATCGAGAACGCGACAGGAGTCGACCATGGAGAAATGAATCGCCACCAAATACACGGCGGCATGATAGAAGGTTTATACAAAGTTTATTCCAACTAATAAGATATTCAAATTCATACTCTTTCTTTCGTTTCTTGTAATATTTAGTCTATTTTACAGACGGAGTAGAAGTCGTAGCACATCACCAATACGCCCAAGAATACGAGATGGTCCTGACAATCGTGATCACAGAGCCCGATTTAGAAACAGGTCCCCGACACCACTTCGATCTCGGTCTCGATCAAGATCATTAGATCGTAAAAAGATAGATCGTACTGAAAGGATGGATGTAGATAGAACAGAAAGAATTGATGGGAGTCCTGGTGGAGGAACTCCAACGCAGGATAGTAATCACGGAGATGTAGACATGAGGTTGTCTACTACTAGTCAATCAATTCAAAGCGTCGTTGCCGTTGCTTCTAGTGTTCCAAATAGCCAACCAGGTTTTCAAGCAAAGAGGAGATGCAGGGATTTTGATGGTCTGTATTTACCAAGGAATTTCAAAAATAAATGTAATAAATTTTGTGAAGTAAATAATTAATATTTACAGAGAAAGGGTACTGCATGCGAGGTGATCTCTGTCCCTACGATCATGGTACAGATCCAGTTGTATTAGAAGATGTTGCTTTAAGTCGTGTTCTGACCTTTGGTCCACATAGTGCTCAAGCACCAGGAACAGTACCTGTAACGGCAGTACCAGAACCACCTCCAGGACCTAATGGAAATGCTCCCCCACAACATCTTCCTCTTGCAAGTTTACCTCCTCCACATTTAAGAAATCAACATCATTCTAATATGGGTAAGTACTTTTTATATATATAATTTTAGATATTGTTCTGAAGAGCATCAGTTTCTAATTGATGTAAAATATTGAGGAATTGGAGGATAGAGGGAAAGATTCTAAATATAAAATTTAACTTCAGATATTTAAAAGTTCTTAAAATATTAATAAAAAACTTTTGATACAATACATTGAATTCTACCTACACCGACATTATTAATGGTACTCGTTGTAGTAATCACCATCAATAATTCTCAGACAATAGATGATTATGGTATCTGTACGATGTTTCACGTGAATTCGGTTATCTATAACATTATGAATAAGTGTTACCGGTTGCTTCCTTTTTGGCAGTCAAAAAGATATATCCATAAAAGATAACTCCAATCCTTATTCTTTTATCGAATAATGGAAAAGAATTAAGAGAAAAAAATAGTATTCTAGCTATTTTAATTATAGATGGAATATCCTAGATATTAAGATTGATATCGCTATTACGTTATCGGCTGCTTGATAATCGATAACGACAACGAAAATGGTTAATTAGTAACGTCTATATAGTTAGAATTAAAAAGAAAGATTTTTATTGATATCTCGGAAAAAAAACCCTGAAGCTAGAATTTTATATTTGGGCTCTTTCCTTTCTGCTCTTCATTCTTTCAAAATTTCATATCGATCGAAAATTAGTGCTTTTCAGAACTGTAGCCAAAATTTTAATGTATAATTAATAACGATATTTTAATGTAAATTTCGATAGATGCTTTTGCGGAATATAATCCAGATGCACCGAGTATGGAACCTCGAATGCCATGGGGTAGGCATCCTCAACCTGGACCTGGAATTTATGGGAGAGGTCAACGGGAACTAATTAGTGTGCCAGTAATTCCACATACAAACTCGTCTGAAATAACACATACTCAAACAAATCCGTTAAAACGTAAACAAGCATTCGACTTTAATCGTCTTGGACCAAAACAACGAGTGGTACACAACCCAGCTAATTGTTCCCTGGAATTAAAAAAAGTTCCACGTAGCCTGAACAACATAACCCAACTGAATAATCATTTTTCAAAATTTGGTAAAATTGTAAATATCCAAGTTAATTTCGGCGGAGATCCTGAGGGAGCGTTGGTTACCTTCCAGCTACCAGCTGAAGCAAAGGCTGCATACAGAAGTACAGAGGCTGTGTTAAATAATAGATTTATCAAAGTTTTTTGGCATAACACTGTTAACAACAATACAGCTGGTGGTGCCATTGAAAATGTACCTCCAGGTATATGCCGTTCATATTTTTTTATGTATATTGATTTACTTATTAGTGATTTTTTATAAAAAAAAAAAAAAAAATTCAGTGTTTAATATAATGCTTCGTCAACTTAGGATGTCGTCCTTCTGTCAAAGAACGATTGGGTGCTGCTGTGACCACGCCAGCGAAGACCGAAGAAAATGAATATATTCCCACTCGTCGTTCAACCGAAGAACAAGTCTCACAACCTTTGGTTCCAACATCACCAAAGACTACCACTGTTCCTACACGAGAAGACAAAGTTCTTGCAATAAAAAAGACACAAGAAATATTAGCTGCTAAGGAAACGTTAAAGAAAAAACAAGAAGAGAAACGTAAGGAGGCATTAAAATTAACTGCCGATTTGCGTAAGAGGAAACAGGAATTATTAGATAAGCATTTGATAGAAATTCGAGCTCTGATTGACAAAGCCGAGAAAAATCCAGAACAAAAGGATGCAATTATGGCAACGATCAAAACTATGCAGCAATCTATTGATAATTTACGTAAAGACTTGGCTGCGAATGGTCAAATTGCTGGTAACAAGTCGCAAATCAAATCTAGAGAACAAACACAGAAAGAGATTTTAGACGCAGAATTAGATTTAATGACAGCGCAACAGGAAGGGCAAGACGCTGGAGAATTGCAAAAGAGATTAAACGAATTACGAGCACAAGCTGCTGCGTTAGGTTTAAACGCAAGTCCAGCTGTTGGCCGAGGTACAAGATCCAGTAGAGTTATACGAGGCAGTCATGCATTATCATATAGGGGTCGTGGCAGAGGGAGTTTTACCCATGTTTCAGTAGATCATAGACCTACGAGTCTTCTAGTCTCTGGTTACGAAACCGAAGAAAAGGCTGAAGTTTTAGCGCATTTTCAAGTAAGATTCTATTCCTTTATATTACATGTATGTGTTTTCGCTTTTGTGTAATCATATAAATTAATATCTGTATTATTTGTTTCAGCAATTTGGAGAAATAGTAAATCAAATAGTAGATGACGCTACGCCTTCGATCGTAATCAATTTTAAGTCAAGAAAAGAAGCTGAGATAGCTTTAGTAAAAGGACGCACATTTCAGGATAGATTGTTGTCTATAACTTGGGTTTCTGGACATCATCTACATCGTGGTGGCGGTGGTAGCAATACAAACGCATCTGTACAACTTTCTTCACGTTCCGAACAAGCACCACCTACCATCGATGAAGATATTGATTTAGAAGTGAGTTCTTAAAACTTTTAGATTGTAATTTTTAAAAAAATAATTGTATATTATTTTATTTTTATTAAAATCTGCTCTTTTTCTGATACACAAATAAATGATAAAAATATAAGATATTTTGTCCGTCTTTCATGTGATGCAAACCTGTATTTGTATAACAGGGTAACGCTGAAGCATTGCTTCTTGAAGAAAACGAAGAAGAAGAAGATGAAGACGGTGAATCGCGAAGCTGGCGGCGATAGCAGCGTCAGCGTTATTTGTGACAAAAACTTGGTATCAGCTACAATGACTATGTGATGATCTGGGCAAATCAATATATGCCCAGCACTTGCGCCATTGCTGCACTGTCGTTTGATGCATCAAATGCCATGATTTTCACAAGAAAATCAGGTTATGAGCTCATACACGTTATTATGAGTGTTACACTATTTGTTAATATTATTAAATATATACGCATGCGCATTATAACGGTATTATAAAGAAAAATACCGTGTCAAATTGCGCATCGTGAAATAGAAAACAGATATACAAGTTTCCAACAACAACAAAAAAAACTAACCAAATTTATCCCATTATTTGTAGAATAAAATCGCTATGTTTTGTATGGGAAACATCTTATTCTGAATTCAGTCCTTTTTCTTTGTGTGTAGAATTGTGAATTGTCTCTTGTTATTTCTTTCAAGATATATCTATAATAAACAAGTAGCCAGATTTTTAGATATAGGTAGATACTTATAATTTTCAGAAATTTTACAATCGAAAGTGAGGAAACTATATTTATAACTTGTAAGATACAAATACAATTTATTATATAATTATCATATAAGATATAGCGTACAACGCTTCTAAGTAGCGTAATTGGTTTTTCTTTTTTACTTTCATTTAATGTACTATTTAAAATTGTTCCTGTAATGATGTACAGTGTAATGTATAATTGTCATGATTTTCTTTTATCAAATGTCAATGAAACTAAGTTGATTAGAATTGAAAAAAACTTATTCGTGCATAATTTTACACTAGTTGTTTCAATACATACTGAAAAAAATAATATATAATTGTTACATACAAATTCTTAAAATTAGTTTCCAAGGTAAGTATTAAATTCCGCAATAAATAAAACTCGTATACACTCTGCGTGAAATTTAGAGAAAAAAAAAGAAAAAAGAAATAGACTATGTTTCAAAGCCTTTGGCATTTCGTTATACATATGAATAAACTTATTTGATACATTTTGAAAACAATTTTGAGTCGAATCCTACCCAATGTTTTGTTAAACACTTCACTTTTTCAAATTACATTATGTAAATAATTTTCATACGACTTTTTACATATTAAAATTTGAAACCTGAATCTATATAAGACTTTTTATTCCTTAATTCCACGTTTGAACACTATTCATTAAGGCATTTTTTCCTACAATGAACATGATGAATAAGTAAATTACATTATTTTTTATCTAATTACTTACTATAAATATAGTTATTTTTCAATTTTTCATTATTCTGTAAATACACACAAAATATATATATTAAAAGAAAGTTTACTTAAAATAGTATATGCATGCAATTTTAAAAAATGAAGTATATAAAAAAAATTATTCAAATTGATCACAACATATTTACATTATGGGGACAACCAACCAGCTAATAAACTACCCAATAGTAATTGTGCAACTGGTAATACAGACAATGGTAAATTCACTGCAGGACCATGAGCTGACCCATGGTAAGCACCACGTAAAACCCAGCTTCCAAGACCAACTGATTTGTGAGTACTTGTAAAAAGTGCAGCTAATAAGATATTCCGAGGTAACCACTGAGAGCACAAAATCCAACACAAGCAGCTAACAAATAGTTGTCCCACGCAAGCTTGAACATAACGAAACAACAAAAAATATACAATGTTCTACACTTAAATCAAATTAATAATGCATCAACATATAAACATACATGCATTAATGTTATACAAATATTATTGCAATAATTATTGTTCATTTGGTTACATAAATATAAATTTTGATAAAAACTTACCAATTAATATGCATAATAGCACGTCAGTAGCTTGTAAAGATGATGCATCCACCAATACAGCATCACAAAACCAATGATATGCTGTAGCTAATAATAGTCCTTGAGAAAACCAAGGTGACTTAATTTTGACAGAAATATCATACTTTAAGAGGACAATTTGAATCATAACACCAATAATTAATGGTATAATTGTACTATAAATGGTTTCTTTTACATTTACCCCAACTAGAGGAGGTGTAGATGCGCCTAACTAAAAAAATTAAAATTCTTATAAAATGGAAAATATGTAGCAACTTAAGTTTCAGTAATGAATAAATACCACAAAATATAATAATATGGGAGATATAAATAATCCTCCAAAATGAGATACTAAAGTAATTACAATGCTTGTTGATAAATCTGCTTGTGCCAATCGACACAAAACAAAACTTGTATTAAATGGAGGTGGCATACAGTAAAGTACCTAAAAATCAAAAATTACGATTAGATTATTATAAATGTCTAAATTATAATTATAGAAAATATTTTAATATTTATTTACTTCCATTCCCTTCAATAACCATACATTGACATTGGCATAAGTCAATAAACATACTCCAAGTCTCATCAAGAAAGGCATTAAAATATATATGAAAGTCATTGTAAATACTAAGAGAGAGCCATTAAATAATGTTAAATAAAGTGTTTTTGGATTACATAATAGACCTGCTTCTAAGTATGTCAAAGGAACAGCAAAATATCGAATAATAATATTACCATTCAGAACACCTATTACAAATGAAAAATTGTAAGAAATAAATATGTAATTAACAAAATTAATTATGTATAAATTAATACCATTTGTTTTGCCAAATTGTGGTTTAATAGAAGCAAGGATCATACATAAAAGCATTGATAGAAAATATCCATATCTGTATAAAAGTTCATTCTGCCTTTTCTTTGGTTGAACATTTGATTGTGTATAATCTTTTTGCATTTTTGTTTAATTTTGTATATGTCTGTAACAATTTAAACATTTTAATATGTTTGTTTCAAAAGGCTTCTTTATTATATATTATATTAATAATAAAAAGAAATGCAATGTAATTTATACAATGAGAAACTGTAGATAATAATGAAGAGGATCCAAACCATTTTTGTAAAAATTAGAGTACATCTGCCTATGAACAAGTTCAGCCAGTATTTTTTTCTGGATCTTCTTTAAGAGTTTCATGCACTCTCTCCCTTAAAAGATTTTGTGCGTGCATATTTGGACAAAATACTATGTACTATCATCCTATTTAAACATGCTTAAAATATTATAATTAAATAAAACAAGACTTGTTACCTACAATACTGTTAGATCTATTAAATGTAATATCTAAATTCATTCACTTATAATAAATTATTCTGTATTATATTTTACCATGAAATATCTCTGTAAAAAATGTTTTAATTACTGTAATATAGAATCTAAATGTAAATCAAAAGATAAATATGCATTTAAGTTGAAGCAATATTTAAATTTATAAAATGCAATGATGTTCTTTTAGCAATAGATTTTCTATGTCATTATGATCAAGATTTGTGACATTCATCTTTTGATATTTTTTATGATTTTTAGGCTGCATGAAATAATAACATTTTGTGCTTATTAAATATGTAATAAAATATGATTGTACAATATATGTATTTACATGTTGTCGCGTTGATAGTTGTTCAAACTCAAAAATCGTACACAAAAGAATGAAAAATTATTATATGACCATTTTACAAATAAATTTAAAGTTTCGATTCATTACGATCCATCAACATTTTTCTATAATACTTTTAAAACATTAGTAACGGACAGTTTTATATAATATTTGATTGTCAATATTTTAAATATTTATTATTTTTAATGCTTAACTCTTAACAAGCAGTACGACACCCCTTACTGCATCGTATTAAAATACTAGTGTAGTATCAAAATGCAATGAGAAAATCTGTTTTCATTTTCTTACGCATGCGTAATTAAGAACAAATTTACGCTAGTATTAATGACTTTAGTGCCAACAAAACAAATTTTCGAAGACAAAAAAATAATTCAGATCCAATAAAAGGATAGTCTCTTATATTATATAAATTAGAGAAAGAAAAAATTAATTCGTATTTATTAAAATTATTCTGCTTGGAATGATATAATAATACAAAATGTCTTAATTAAATAAGATCAATTAAATATCTATTTTGTTTATTGTGATTCATGAAAAACTTCTCAGGGTAAAATTGCACTATTTCAAAAACTACACCGAAGGGTGAAAATAAATTGAATGTAGTTCCGAAAAGCACCTATTCTCGATATAGAGGAAGAAATAAGAATTCTAAGTATAAAAATTTAATTTCGGATTTTTATTAGAGATATTAATAAAAAAAAAAAACTTTTAGTATAACACACTGAATTCAGTCTTCAACTGTTTTCGTCATTGTGACAGATGCCGGATGTTACGTAGCTGACATCAGCTTCGATATCTATAGGGTGTCCCATCTAAAATCAGTATAATTAACTTCATTCCTGGGCAACTTTTCTTTTTTTATAATTACTCACTAAAAAAAAAATAGGAGTTGTGTTTAGATTTGTATTATGTATTTTTCTGGCTACAGGTAATCCTTATCCACGATGTGAATAATCAAGTTTACATAAGACATCCTATAGATACAAAACTGACACATTATTATGTATAAACAATTTTCCAACATTCACCGATGATATCTATTTACACAACTTTGACCATTGTATTAGTCATATCTGTATAAGCAAAATTCAATATATTGTATAGAAAGTGTTTTTTTATTAACATCTTGCTAATTAACAAAAATCCGAAACTGATATTTTATATTCGTGATGCTACCCCTGTCCCCTTCATCTTGTCAAAATTTTACGTCGATTGGAAATTGGTGCTTTTTGAAAGAATATACATAAACTTCTTTTAAAATTAAATTAATTTTTCATAAAACTTCAAGGTTATTAAATTTTTTTAAATGGAATCGCATATTTCTTTTCCCTCTTTCTCATCTCAAATCTCGAGATATTCGCATTTGTAAATTCGCAAAAATAATTACAATTACACGCATACAGATTTAGTTACATATTCGATACATCTTTATACTTTGACTAGAAGAAAGACTAACGAATCATTCACTGGATCAATAATTTCAATAATTTCATCTAATGTTCGGATAATGAATGTGTAACTCGCTCCGCCGTATGTGTATTAACAAATTATAGTTACTTTCACACCTTGAGATTGAGTGAATGAACTGAATTTTTTTTTGTGCTCTGTAAGAATATAGAAAATCTACAATTCCATTTTAAAAAACCATGATGACTTTGAAATCTTGAAAAAAATGATCTTGAGAAGAATGTAGCCTTTGAGATAGTGCAACATTGTTTTTTGATGTAACAATAAATAAGGCAGATATTTAGGGTGATTCCATTTAGCTGAGACATTGTGTATAATGTAATTTTTTTGCGAAATATTATAATTTTTAATAAATATAACTGAATGATACGATATTCATTCATTATTTATTATAATAATATTAATAATAC